CCGACGGTGCCATGGGGGTCTTTGGGCACAGGGGGGCTGGGAAGGCGGAGTGGCCCCCTGAGCTCCCAACTTCCTGTGGGGTGCTGGGGGCTGCTGGATCCAATCTCAGCCTTGGATTCTGCCAAAACTTTCAGTTTAGAGGAATTACACAGGTGTGACTGAAACACTTTTGTCCCTCAGGTTTTAATGGTGGCAAATCATATCAATTGATAGAAATGAATTTATTTAGGGTTACAAATGATCAGACAAAAGATCTTCATCAGAATTATTTACTGCACCACATAAACAATAAAACTACCAGGAGTATAGGTTAAGATAGTACAGTGCTCTACACTAAAGCAATTGTTGAAGCAATTCTACTAAAGCTGGCACAAAAGCAATAATTCTGAATTAGAGATGGATGGAACTTCCCCAGACCAACGCTCATGTGGAGATCTCTGCTCTTAACCTCAAAAAGTGACCTTGGGGGGTCCCCAGCCAAGGCAGGCATCTCCATACACCCCCTAAGAAGGGTTCTGTTGGCAGAACCTGCCCCTGGGAAAGGGGACTGGCCCTTTCTGGTAGAAAGGGATTGACTGCCAGTCACTGGACTCCACGGGTTGCCTCACCATCAGGAGGTTCATTTGGGGTGGAAGCAGTGGCCAAAACTCTTCCCACAGTTGGGGCACTCAAAGGGCTTCCCTTACTGGTGGGTCCGTTGGTGTGAGGTCAAGGTAGAGCTCTGGTTGAAGCTCTTCCCACACTCCCCACACTTGTAAGGTTTCTCCCCGGTGTGGATGCACCGGTGGGTGACGAGGTGAGAGTTCCGGTTGAAGCCCTTCCCGCAGTTGGTGCACCGGAAGGGCCTCTCATCCGTGTGCGTCCGCTCATGCAGGAGGAGATGTGAGCTGGTCTTAAACCTCTTCCCGCATTCCAAGCACTTGTACGGCCGCTCCCCAGTGTGGATGCACTGGTGTTTGTGGAGGCTGGAGCTGTCACTGAAGCTCTTCCCACATTCCCCACATGTGTAGGGCCGCTCCCCAGTATGGATGGCCTGGTGTCGGATCAGGTTGGAGCTTTGGTTGAAGCTCTTCCCACATTCCAAGCACTTGTAGGGACGTTCTCCAGTGTGGATGTGCTGGTGGGTGAGGAGGTTGGAGCTGGAACTGAAGCTCTTCCCACATTCCCCACATGTGTAGGGACGTTCTCCAGTGTGGATCTGCTGGTGTCGGATCAGGTGGTAGCTCTTCTTGAAGCTCTTCTCACATTCCAAACACTTGAAGGGCTTCTCCCGGCTGGGAGGCTGGTCAGGAACCACCAGGTCAGAGCTCCCCCTCAAGCTCCAGCCACCTTCCCAGCACAGGCTGGCTCTTTCCTCCTCAGAGCACCCTTGACTGGCTTTGGAGCCCCTCCTGTGAAGGGATCTCCGGCCCTTTTCCTCCCCGCTGCCTTCCTGCGCCGGGGAGCCCTTCAAAACGGCCTCTCCCACCAGGGTCTCACGGGGGGATTTGTCCTCCGGGCTCTCCGTCCTCAGCTCAGGGCCTGTGGCAGGAAGCAAGAAGGACATGGAGGGGATTTGCCTCTGGCCCACAGGGAAGGCCAAGGACATCCCCCCAACTCCGGCCCCAGCAGGACGGCGGCGGCAGCAGGGTTGTCCTGCAGCCGGGGCCATGCTGGGCTGACAGAGCCAGCACAACACCCGCCCAAAGGGACACTGACTTCCTCCTCACCTGCCTGGGGGGCCCAAGGCATCTTCCTCTTCCTCGCAGCCTCCTCCTCCATCCGCCCAAGCTTTGGGAAGGACAAATCCTGATGGGAGGGAATAGAAAGGCTGAGTGCATTTGCTTGGGGGTTCCTCCTGCCCAAGTCCATCTCTAGAACTCACCAGGCATCCTGTGTCCATAAAAACTTCCAAAACACCAAGATTTAGCCCAGAAAAACCTAAACCACCCAGATTCAGGAAAAGAATTCCTCAAAAATAGCAAGAAGACCCCTGCTTTCCCGAAGTGCAAATACTTGACATTTGACTAAAATATACTCCAAAATATGAAGATTAGCCCAAACAACCTGTCCCAGAAGTTCCCCCTCTCTGGACTTGTCCCCTCTGGCGTTCAGAGGGTCTCTCTTATCTGGGATGCTGGAGATCCCAGTTCAGCATGCTGGGAGTGTTGGGGTCCCAAGGGTCCCTTCTCCTCTGACTCTCACCTTTGGGGTGCCACGTTCCCGGACATTCCCTCTCTCCAAGTTCTCCACTTGGTTGTCTTGGGGATCCCAGGGGTCCCCACTGTCCAGGTTTCCCCTTCTCCATGCCTCCCGTTTCAGGTTCCCAGAGGTCCCGGGGCTCCACCCTCTCCATGCTCCTCCCTCCAGGCTGCCGGGGATCCCCCAGCTCTGGCATTGCCCCACTCCACCCTCCACACTCGGCAGCTCCCGGGCTCCACACCCACCCCCGGCACTCCCGGGAAGCCCCAAACCCGCTGTGTCCCCCCCACCGGCACTGGGCTGACAATGGAGCCGGCGGGGCCTGACCCAGCAACACCAACCCCCATCGTGGGGGGGACCCGCATCCCCCCACCAACTGCCAGGGCTCTGCCACCAACCCAGCCCGGCACCCCCAAAAAACACCTCCCGCCCACCCCCAAGAGCCACCAAGGGCACAGTCCTGCACAAGGACCGGCTGTGCCCAAGGCAACCAAACAGCCCCACAGGAGGGGGGACACCAGAGGCTGCCCCAGGGCAAGGAGTACAGGGAGCAGAACGAGCGCCCTGACACATGGGCGGGCTCTGGGTTCAGCCTGACCAGGGGCAATTTGGCACCAAGAGCATGGCCTCGAACACTGGCTCGGCACAGGGGGCCCGAGCTCCCCCCTCTCCAGGCTC